AATTACAACGGTTTTTTGGATAACTGAACCGCAGACTTTGTCCATTTTTGATCACTAGAATTTATAGAAACAGATAAATGCAACATATTACGTAGCTTTGATATTTTAGCAATCCGCGAGAGAAACATGGTCAGATGTGGATCGATTAGGGCAATTCCCAGTGGCTGGACACAACCGAACAGCCCGTCAGGCAGACCAATGCGAAGGGTGCTGTATTACTGGCCCAGCTGGTCCCAAAGGACCACCAGGAAGACCGGGTAAACCAGGCAAACCGGGAGCACCTGGTCTCCCAGGAAATCCGGGCAGGCCGCCACCACAGCCCTGTGAGCCGATCACACCTCCGCCATGCAAGCCATGTCCAGCAGGACCGCCTGGACCACAAGGACCACCCGGACCACCAGGAGATGCGGGACCAGACGGAGCACCTGGACAACCAGGACCTGATGGCGCACCGGGAGAACCTGGACCGCCGGGACCATCGGGAGCACCGGGAGAGCCAGGAGCCCCAGGACCAAATGGGCCACCTGGAGAAAATGCACCTGATGAACCGCTGCAGCCCGGTCCACCTGGAGAAGAAGGTCAGTTCCTTTGTGTAACTTTTACATGCATTTGAGATTTTTTTTTTTTGTATAAACTATTTGGACAAGATAGCCCACCATTTTCTTGAAAGTTTGGTAGGCACATGAATCCTTGTGAAATCGCAGAAATTTCTGTGATGATTTGATTTGTTCCAAAAAATCTACTCTTTGTTTTCAGGAGATCAAGGACCACCGGGACCACCAGGACCAGCCGGACAGCCAGGCCAAGATGGAGCAGCTGGACCACCAGGTCCACCTGGTGAGAAGGGAGCGGATGGACAGCCTGGTGCTGATGGGCAACCGGGAGCACCTGGCCCACAGGGACCGCCCGGAAAGCCTGGCGAGCGTGGTGTTTGCCCGAAATATTGCGCAATCGATGGTGGCGTATTCTTCGAAGATGGTACCAGGCGTTGAGGACAGCCGTCAGCCTGAAGACGCCTTTCTCATTTCTCATAATTCTACTGCCTTACTGCAACTACCACTGCTGCCGCTACTGCTGTTTCTACCGCACCACCAAAAACTGAACTGAGGTTTTGTTCCCAAAGAAGCAACAAAGTTTTCGATAGTTTGCGGAAATGAAAAAGACCTTTGTTTGAATTGCGAAACGGAAATTTCCTCATTTTTCCTCCTTTTTTGTTTAGCAGTGGAAAATTTTTGTTGACTGTCGACTCCTGAAAGCACCGGACGACGTTTCCTCATTTGACCAGTGCAGGAAGAAGATTGTCGTTGTGTCTGCCTGTCTGTGTGTGTAGGTTTTCCGTATAGTTGAAAGAAATTTGTAAATTTTCTCATTTGTTTTTTATGTGCGCGCACAAAAAAGCAATTTTTAAAATTTGTTTGTCCACTCATTACGGTACTGGAATTACGGATACCTGCAGTCGATAAATGCGCTGAATTCGCTGATAATTTTGGAATCCAAAAATGATCCACAAATGCAAGAAACAGGATAATAGCGGGCTAAAATATTATTACTGACAACGCACTGAAACGAAAATGCATAAGTTTTGCTCTGTAACCTATACTTGCACAAGCCAGAAACTCATTTCTTCGCATGCTATTCTTGCAAATGATTGATTAGAGCCGATGTTAGCAAATTTTGAAGTGTTTCCTTCCTTTCGTTATTTGTCCCAAACAGTTACAGTTATTTGGGCAGCTGAGGTGACAACCCCTTATACTTCTCTTTTAATTACAGGCCACTTTCAAAAAATAGGTAAAACAGAAAGTTTTAACAAAATAGACTGATTTGTCATCTTTCGCAACTGGTTCCCTCCCCTCCCCCTTGTGGAACGGTACCACAAAAAAAACGGGCGAATTTTACGAGGTCGCTCAATACTGCGTCACTTTGTTGAAGACTTTGTTTGGTCTGA